GAGGGGCCTCACCACAGCCTCTTTCAAGGCAGCCGGCAAGAACCCCTCACTCAAAGAAGCGTTGACGATTTCCTGGAGCCAGCCTCGTGTAACCTCCCGGGAGGCCAGTACCAGCCAGGAGGGACACGGGTCCAGTAAACATGTGGTGGTGTTCAGCCGTCCCAGCATTCTGTCCATGTCCTCGGGGGTCACAGGATCAGATTCACTTCTACACTGAACAGAAATGGCCCTGAAGCTCATATATTTTCTGGACCAAATACTTAGTGAAACCTGTTGCTCATCGATACAATGACTTAGTTAAAGAATTTGGCCTTAGTAGTAGTATGATATGTCAAATACTTGAATTTTGAGAGATCCAAAATATAGCCAGTTTAGAACAGTTGCCATAGTATAGTCATCTGGCCCATAAAGATCATGTGATCTTTATTTTCTATATCAAGACTATAAAGGTATTTTTAACTAATTTGGTATTTTAAACATTAAAAAATTGCTTTTCTTGTCTCATAATATAGAAATCAATCTGGCAAAGGTACCGCTATGCAGTCTCATCACAGATCAAACAGCAAAGAATTACAGAATGTGGGACTGCAAAGAGAAGATACCCTTTCAACAAATGAAAGCTTTTTAAATGGAAATCTCCCTGTAACCTCTCACAGTCCAATGCTGTTAAAAAAGACAAACAATCCTCCATCTGGAAGTAAGGATCTAGCTAATAACAACATACCACATCTTCTCAGTCCAAAAGAAGCAAAGACAAAAGCTGAATTTGATTTTAATTCAGAAGCCAAAGCTTCAGATGGTCCTGGTACTAAATACTTGAAGTCAAATTCCAGATCACAGCATAATCGTCATTCATTTATGGAAGGTTCGCAGAACAAAACTGGCACACTACAATTGGGTGAAAGGCATAGCCGTCACAGTTATATTGATACTATTCCACAATCTTCAAAGAGCCCCTCATATCGCACCAAATCAAAAAGTCATGGAGCTCTGACTGATTCCAAATCTGTGGGTAATTTATCTGAAGCCAGAATTCAAGTTTCAGAATCAAACAGCAGCAGATATTTTCCTTCCAGCTGTTTGGATTTAAACTCTCCTACTACACCAACACCTCCTCGTCATGCTGATAGTAGAACTTTGCTCAGTCCTTCCAGGAGAAATAACAGAAGTGATGGTACACTGGAATCACGAAGGCCATCTACAAGACATTCCAAAACCATGGAGGAGTTAAAATTGCCAGATCACATGGATGGAAGCCAGTTACATTCTGCATCTGCTCCTCATGAATCTTTTTCTTATGGTTTAGGCTACACGAGTCCTTTTTCTTCACAGCAGCGCCCTCATAGACATTCTATGTATGTGAGCCGGGACAGAGTGAGGACAAAGGGCTCAGAGGGTGGCTTAAGCGTAGGGCAAGGGATGGCAGCCAGAGCAAACAGCCTGCAACTGTTATCTCCACAGGTGCAGCATAAATCTCTTACAAGATCTGTTGGCTCTTCACGTGAAGATTGTACAGAAGATTCCAATAGGGTTAGTTGAATTCTTGATTGTTAGGGATCTGAACAATTCATGGTTTTGTACTGTATGTTTGTCAGTTGTTAAAAGTCACTTTTACTTTTGCCTAAGGAATCCATATCTTTTTCAGCTGATTTTTTTTCTCATCAAATACCCCATCTCCAGAGTTCATTGTATATACTATTAACCTCTACCTTATTATATAAAATAAATTATGCCTATTGATATATTACTGTTGAAATTAGGTTTTTTAATGCTGAATATTAAGTCACAAAGGCTACCCAGAAACTGAATACCGTGTTTCCTGAAAATAAGCCTTAGCTTGGTTTTACGTGTATGCCTAATATAAGCCCTACCCCCAAAATAAGCCCTAATTAAGACCCCACCCTCTCATTGCATGAGGTGGGGCGAGGCGCACATGTAAAAAATCAGGCTAGGGCGGGATGTGTGTGGAGCTCGCCCACGCACCCTGCTCCCACTTACCTCAGGACCGCCACAGCCAGGCCTCTCACACCCCAACACCTGTCGTGCTGCTGCCCCAGTTCTGCGGCTGCTTGTGGCAGGCCATTTGGTGCATTGCGCCAGTGCCACTGCTCATGGCAGGAGGCCACATGGCACGTCGCACCGGTGCAGCTGCTTGTGTCCAGCGAGCGGCAGCACTGGCGCGACACACCACATGGCCTCCTGCCGCGAGCGGCTGCAGAAGTCGGGCAGTGGTGTGACAGGTGTTGGGGTATGGGAGGCCTGGTTGCGGCGATCCTGAGGTAAGCAGATAAGACATGCCCCGAAAATAAGACCTAGTGCCTCTTTTGGAAGCAAAAAATATATAAGACCGGATCTTATTTTCGGGGAAACAGTAGTTACCCTTAAGGGTATTTTCCGGGGTTTTTTTTTATAAGTACCCTTCAAATTTTATTGATTAAAATTAAGGAGGCACTTGCTCTCTTGCAAGCTTAATAGAATATTTATTCTTACATTTTAGACAATTTCTGGCCAGAAAATATAACTACTTGATGTGTGTTGTCTGCCATTTGACTTCTTTTTCTCTTGTCTGAAGATGAATTGGCTAAACACTTAGCAAAGGGGTGTGTCAGTTACAGTGTATGCAGGGGAAGAGGAAAGGGGGTCACATGATGAAACATTTGCTATGACATCACAACACAAACCCTGCTATGTGGACACAATTGCAAAGCAGGGCTTCCATTATAATGTCACCATGCATGTTATCGTTTTTTCATCATAGTATATTTATGGATCTTTATGTTTTAAATTAGAATAAATATAATAGAACAGAAATATATTGTAGAAATATATGTTCCTTTTACTGGGAATTGAATGCTTTACTAGGAATTACTGAGTTGCCTTTATCTATATGTTGGAAACCATTTATTTTATGGTTCTCTACCGCTGAAGTTGAATATTGTAATGCTTCAATAACATGGTTCTCTTTTCCAAAAGAGACTATTACTATAAATGAATGGTACTAATACATACATTAACATCTGTAATACATTGGGAATGGAATATTGTTAATACAATTATAATGCGGTTAGTTGGAGACAGGAAGTATAAAAAATGGGAAAGTAATATAAATGCTGCTGGCCTTAGAAGTGTAAAATAATAGATCTAAAAATTTGTACTGATCAGAACAAACTCTTGAACAATATAAAGCCTGGGGATATTTGATATATTACAAAAATGTTTCCACATAAAATATACTTTAAATACAAGATGATGTTTGAACAACTATCACTTGAAAAAATTTAGGTAAGATTTGCTAAAATGGTTTATATTTTATGTGTCAAAATACATTTTTATAGAAAAATATTATTAGTTCCAATCAGGTGCTTTTATTCTAACATAGCTTGTTTTCCTAATTAGATTTCAATTTTTAAAATACAAATTACTAGTTAATTTGCAACAATTTTATTGGAAGCTACCGAGAATCACTTTTGTGAGATGTGGAACTTATATAAATCAAATAAATAAACTAACAAATAAATAGTTATTAAAATGAATGAGGTGTCGAGGTTTCCATGACCTCTTGAATTATGTATAATGTTTGGGATTGTATATTTTTGTCAACAAAATTTAAAACCATGAACGGTCATAATAAGATTCTCCATTGGCAATCTAGTGGATTTAGTATATTTAACATCCACTGAGATAGATTACATACCTTCGTCATTTTTACATACCTTCGTCATTTTTTAAAAGTTTTACATTGCTTCCTCACTCAAAAACCATTTATTAGAGGGATCAGTGAGAATTAGTCATTCATCTGAATATATCAGACAAGCTACTTCTATATGAACTTTTAAAAAGGCAAATACAGAGGGAAATCTTAATATTGCCTCATTATGTTAGGACTCTCTTCTTGTCTGCATTACAAAACTCTGCAGTATACTATTGCAGTAGCAGTTTTGCACCAGAACTGGAGTGATCCAGATTCAAGCCTCTCCTTACCCATGGACACTTACTGAGTGATTTTGGTGACTTTCATTTTCATGTTAGATTTATATCCCATATTCCTCTTGGAGCCCAAGGTGGCATCCAATTTCTTCCCCCAACATCAACCTTGGGCAGGTGAGTTGGGCTTAAGGAATAACCAGCCAAATGAAATAAAATATGTGTACTGTAAGACTTGTCTGCGCTAGGTTTTGATGCCAACTTTGGGATATTTTGTATGTATATTAATTTCTTACTAAGCTTCCAAGAAAGGCCAAATTCAAAATTTTATATAAATATTTCCTTTTTTCATCATGTAAAACTGTTAGCCACATTTCCTTTCAAGTAAGGACTAGATTGCTCTGAAACTATGATTATAACATGCAGCTTTCATTTTAATGTGGAATTGATTTTTTATTTTAACAAGCTATGATCAGATTCAATCAAGTTTCTTTGGTGTAATAAATTTATCAATTCTTTTATTAAGGGTGGAACATATCGTGATCAACACCCAGATGATGGAGCATCCACAAAAGAAAATAGACTTCTGTATAATGATTCTGTACCTAGAAGAGTTGGTAGTTTTTACAGAGGTATTTTAACTTATACAATTTAATTCTACTTTAAAACAGAATTCTAATAAAAGGCAAGAACAGTTTAGGTAGCCAATGGATATGTCTTCAGACAGTCATATTACTAACAAGTTGGAAGAATCTCCTATCCCTAGAACACTAAGTAAGATAAAAATGATTGGCTCCTTTTAAAGGTTCATTTTCCTTTATCAAAATTTATTTTTCCAGCTAGATTGGTATGAAGGAGAATTAAATTTAGACATTCTTATAAGTAGATTTTAAATATATTATTCAGATGTGTGTAAAATTATGTTTAGCATGGCTTATGCATAAGTGTGATTTTGACTACAGATTTTGTTTTGTTTATTTCATTTATCTTTTGGGGAAATTTAGAAAAAGTATAATAATAGCAGAATGTACCACTTAATAAATTAAACAGACTTTCAACAACAAGTCACAGCAAAATGTTGGCTCAAACTTCCTAGTTAATCTAGTTTTCACCAAAAACAATTCTCAATATGCAGGCCCACAGAAATTGATAAATTTAACTGTATACTAAAGGACTGGGGTCCAGCAATATTCAAGCAAAAGAGCAGTCTTTTTCAGCAAATTAGTAGAAATTTTGGCTTTGTTAACATGCGGAAGGGCAAGATCGTTAGGCTAATCATGTCTCAATCATAATGGCTTGAAGGATTGCATGGATTTTATATACATTAAAAAGTCTACTGTATTAGATGGACTGGCTAGCCTATGACTGAGGCTTAGAATAGTTAAGGTTCAATTTAACTATGTGATTTAGGTCACTATCTAAAATTTATTAATTCCACTGACTATATTCTTTGTTGCTGTTGTTAGTTGCAAAGTCGTGTATGACCCATCACGACCCCATGGACAACGTTCCTCCAGGCCTTCCTGTCTTCTACCATCTTCTGGAGTCCATTTAAGCTCACGCCTACTGCTTCAGTGACTCCATCCAGCCACCTCATTCTCTGTCGTCCCCTTCTATTGCCCTCAATCTTTCCCAGCATTAGGCTCTTCTCCAGTGAGTCCTTCCTTCTAATTAAGTGGCCAAAGTACTTGAGTTTCAACTTCAGGATCTGGCCTTCTAAAGAGCAGTCAGGGTTGATCTCTAGGACTGACCGGTTTGATAGCCTTGCAGTCCAGGGGACTCTCAGGAGTCTTCTCCAGCACCATAGTTCAAAGGCCTCAATTATTTTGCGCTCAGCCTTTCTTATGGTCCAACTTTCACAGCCATACATTGCAACTGGGAAAACCATGGCCTTGACTATACGTACTTTTGATGGCAGGGTGATGTCTCTGCTTTTTAGTATGCTGTCTAGATTTGCTATAGCTTTCCTGCCCAGGAGCAAGCGTCTTTTAATTTCTTGGCTGCAGTCCCCATCTGTGGTGATCTTGGAGCCCAGGAAGATAAAATCTGTCACTATCTCCATTTCTTCCCCATCTATTTGCCAGGAATTGAGAGGGCCGGATGCCATGATCTTGGTTTTCTTAATGTTGAGTTACAAGCCAACTTTTGTACTCTCCTTCTTCACCCACATCAAGAGGCTCTTTAGTTCCTCTTCACTTTCTGCCATTAGAGTGGTATCATCTGCATATCTTAGGTTGTTGATATTTCTCCCGGCAATCTTAATTCCAACTTTTGATTCATCTAGCCCTGCCTTTCTCATGATGTGCTCTGCATATAAGTTAAATAGGCAGGGCGACAGAATACAGCCTTGCCGGACTCCTTTCCCAATTTTGAACCAATCAGTGGTTCCGTGTCCAGTTCTCACTGTTGCTTCTTGACCCGCATATAGGTTTCTCAAGAGACAAATAAGATGGTCTGGTACTCCCATCTCTTTAAGAACTTGCCACAATTTGTTGTGATCCACACAATCAAAGGCTTTAGCATAGTCAATGAATCAGATGTTTTTCTGGAACTCCCTAGCTTTCTCCATGATCCAGCGTATGTTGGCAATTTGATCTCTAGTTCTTCTGCCTCTTCGAAATCCTCCCTGTACTTCTGGAAGTTCTCGATCCACATACTGCTGGAGACTAGCTTGTAGGATTTTAAGCATAACTTTAATTCTTAACCTTAAGGGTATGAAATTCTGAATATAAAACTAGAGATTCAGTGAATAAAGAGGGAAATGATATAATGTACAATACAAAGACTGCAGGATACTGGTATATTATTTTTTTGCTAAATCTTCACTTCAGCCACATATGCATCTATTATTGAATTCAGTTTAGAAATTTATATTACTTTTATGGAAAGATATTGTAGAAGGACTGAATTGTTAAAATGATTTGTTTTCTAGTTTTGCATATTGACAAATGTTTAATCTAATTTTGATACCATCTAAGAATTTCCTGTTGGTATGATATTTCAAATCCCTAATATATATAATGATTGGGCCTTATTGATCTTGGGCCCACAACCAGCAGTTCGATCCTGACGAGCTCAAGGTTGACTCAGCCTTCCATCATTCCGAGGTTGGTAAAATGAAGACCCAGATTGTTGGGGGCAATATGCTGGCTCTGTAAATCACTTAGAGAATGCTGTAAAGCACTATGAAGCGCTAAAAGTACTATGTAGTAGTATATAAGTCTAAGTGCTAGATGTCATGGTTCCGACTAATCAAACACTTCAAAGAACTTTCAGGCATTGTTTATCCTAAAAAGTCTTTAATCGTGTCACAGAGTGTCGGCACAGCATGGAGGATGCCAAGATCTGAATTCCCCTCCCCTCAGCACATATTATGCCAGCATATTTCCCTCCCCTGATTTGCTGTCATAAATCACATTCTCCAATCAGTTTGAAGGGCAAAGGTTCCCTTCCATTCTGTAGCCTGCAGTTTTCTTATCATAATTAATCCCCACACACATTCTTTCTCCTCCCCTCCCAGCATCATCTAATTTAACTCTAAAATACCACACAGCTTATACAGAGAGTGACTACCTCTGCATATTTTGTCAAACCAAGAACATCCAATGTTAGCAACGTTGACATCCGCCCCCCTTACAAAAAGGATAGGTCCTGTATGTAAACAAAAGCATATGTCAGGGATTATCTCTTGGTTTGTTGGGGTTTTTCTCATGAAACTTTTTGATGAGTCGGCCAGCCTTCACATCGCTAGATTTCACCCAAGTAGCTTCGGACAGCAAGTTCCCCTTCCATTGTACTAGGTACTGCAATTTCCCTTTAAAAATTCTAGAGTCGAGAATACGTTTCACTTCATAGTGATTCTGACCCGCTACTACGAGGGGCCCGGGTGCCTTCTTAGGGGGAGGTCTTAAAGTGGAGCCCCGACAAGGTTTCAACAAGCTGCAATGGAAGACAGAGTGAATCCTCCCTAAAAGCCTAGGGAGTTTTAATTCTACTGTGACAGGGTTGATGATCCTTTCGATGGGGAAAGGCCCCAAGAAACATAAATCTTTTCTTCTAACAGAACAGTGCTTTACATTTTAAATGTTCTTTACATCTTATTTACATTTTATATACATCAATAATTATATCTTTTTCTTTCTCTATTCTAGCCAATTATAACATTTATTCCAAATTTCATAAAATTCTGACGTCTCCTTATCTTTTAGTTCTAACGTAAGTTTGTTCATTTCTGCGCATTCCAAAATTTTATACATAATCATATCATTTGTGGGAATATTTTCACTCTTCCAACATTGCGCATATGCTATACGGGCTGCAGTCAATATGTGTATAATGATATGTTGGAGTTGTTTTTCCATCTTTAAATTTATTATGCCCAAAAGAAATATTTCTGGTTTGAAATCCATTTGTATCTCAGTTATCTCCTGTATCCAATCTCTTATCCGCTCCCAATAATTTTTTACTTTGGGGCACAGCCACCACATGTGATAAAATGTTCCTTCTTTAATTTTACATTTCCAACACTTCGGGTCTATGT